CAGTACAGTACAGTACAGTATGAAGAGAGAGAACACTAACCTTGCTTGACGTGTCTTCTGGCGTGGAGGACAGGAAGGCGGGTGGGGGGGCGGTTATTGTTTGGAGGGGGGGTCCCCCCTGCCTACAGGAAGCCACAACCACGTGTCAGAGCAGGGAAGATGGCCGCAGGTCGCGTTCGTTACCCGATGCGGAGTTCGCGAACGGAAGCAAAATTTTGTGAACGGTGCTGTTCGTGAACCGAATTGTTCATGAACAGAAGCGTTAATGAACCGAGGTATTACTGTATTGTAATACTGACATGCTGATACGTTTCATTCTTATATTTATTTCCTGTATTGGAGTATGCAGCCTGCTTAGAGTTACAGCATCATATAAGTAATAAGAAATAAGTAAATAATGCTGAACCGTAGTTAGAGGCAAAAGCCTCCAGTCTCCTTATGGATGCCCTAGAGAAATAGGAAACTTTCATACAAATAGGCCCATTTCAGTAACAGTAAAAATCAATATCCAATGCAAATATTTCCTGTGAAGTTCCAGGCATACATAATTCTGCATCCATTTCTGTCTAGTCTTACTGTATTTTCTCTGGACTGAGAAAATCAGCTTTCTAGTTTAGTCTTCACCTCTCCCATTACAGCTGGTGTAAAATATGGATACAATTCCTAATGAAATGTCTTCATCTCTCTTTTAATTACCATTAATATCACTAGATGCATTTATATGAAGGAGTAATAAATAATTTGTACTGTGGAAGATATTGTCAAGAGGTGTTTTTTTTTTTTTTTTTAACTAAATCTGTGTTAAACCTAGTCTACACTTTCTGTTTCCTCCTGGAAATGATCAATACACGTCCACTTGGAAGTTCAGGTGATGCTTATCTTGCAAAGTAGGTAGGCATATCTAAAAATGGTTACGCATACAAACTTTTGTATATTGAAAGTTGTTAATCATTGAAGTGAGATTTAATTGTACATGAAGCTTTCTAGCTAGCTGTTCTATGTTCATCTGTTTAAAAGTATTGACCGAGCTGAGAATTGCTAAATCCATCACATCTAGAGGACACTAGCATAAACATCATTGCTTTCTGTATAATACAGACCAGACAGCTGTTGCATATAAATGACTGCTTATAATTTTTCACCAGATTGCTGTCCAAGTTCTTGCTGTACATCCTTCTCTGTTTTATGTATTGGGCCAGTTTGCACAGAATAGGAAACCATGATTGTATAGACCTATGGCTTATTTTTTGTCTGCTACTTCTTTCTTGCAAATCTTGTTACACTCGCAGAAGCTATTCAGGGTAGACCCAGGAGAACATCAACTTGTGAACTGAGTGACCCACTTAGAGTATTGTCGTTATGTGTTGGATGGAAGTCAACCACTAGACTGCAGACTAGAAATGGTACTTTGATGGGGCCGCATGCGCAGTCTTATTTGAGAGAATTGGTATGGCTTCAATGATTATTTGCCTGACACGCATCAGGAAACTGAGCTGATGAATGTAGAGCCATCTGCACAACAGTTTTGAAACTTGACCCTCCTGCTGTATACACACATCTTGGAATTGTTGGTCTTCTTGTTGCTTCCATTCGTGGAGTTGGCAGGCTATGACCCATGTTAGCCTCAGAAGTTCCAGTTACCTTTATTTTGATGGAGCCACAGTTACTGGTGCTCAGACCCAAAGTAACTGTGCTTGCTAAGTAACCTGCTAACCTACCCTAATAATCTACAGGAAGTATACACTCAACACCACCAACCTCTTTTTTAGTATCTCTTACTTATTGTTCTCCTAGGAGCCCGTGATAAGCAACAGACCTTGAATTGCTGTGAGACAGTTTCCGTGAATGAAATTTTAAAACACTGAAACTTTGTTCTGTTTTTTCCTTCCCATATATACCTACCCGTGGAGTTGGTAAGCTGGCTTCCCTTCCCCCTGTTGTGGTTTTGAGGGCACATAAAATGGAAAGCCAAAAGACACATTCTGTAAACCAATATTTTAATGTTGCCAGGGCATCAACAGCTTTATGGAGTTTCATTCTTTCCAAGGTTAATAGTCATGCTTCCATCATTTGTATTACAGTTGCAGCTTAGTATTGTGGGAACAATATAGCCAGCTCTTTTTGACAAACATCTCATTTGGGGCAGCTGTAATTCTATAATTTGGTTATGTACTCAGGGTAAATGCTTCAGTTGCTTGGCTTTGAACTATAAAGCCAGAGAAAATGTGTAATTTCAGTTCCTCTTCATGGGTGTCTTCTGACTTCTCATTTTGTATAGCACTGCTCTAATATTACAAATGGTTTTGTTTTGTGGCCACCTTACTTAGAGGCCTGATAATATACAGTGTGCCAAAGATTACTTTGTCCTTGTTTGAAGCCTCAGTTTCAGTGTTTTTCTTCCATAACTGGCAAAAAGAACAACAACAGAAAAAAACCCCAAAGCTTCAAACTGCCTATTACTAATTCATTGGTTCAATTCAGAAGGTTTAGTTTCATTTCCAAAAACATTTCTATCTTGTTTAGTTGATCACAAATTCACAACAGTGTGGATAAAGCTTTAGCAATAAAAATGTCAGTTGAGTATCATAGATATTTTTCTTGAGTTGTTCAAAATCAGATGTTTCATAGACTGTTTTCCTACTATAATTCAGAATTATACATTTCAGCATAATCAGCGTTCCATTTCTCTCCTGCGTTTCTCTGATACGGACCCAGGGTCTCTGAATTGTTATTTTCCTCAACTTGTGGACTGCCAGGTCAATCTAAAGATACATATTTAGTTAAGCATTTTTCTATGAGAAAAGAAAGTAAGGATAGATTGCAATTCTCTTTATTTTATTTGAAATTGTTGTTACTGTACTGTGTCTGTGTGAATACAAAACAGACAAATCCTTGGTAACCAGTATTGTGGCTGCTTTTTGTATAGCCTGTAGATTTTAGTATAAATTACTTACAAGTAAGCGGTACCTTGGTTCCAGAATCTGATCTTGGTGGCCCTTATTTCGAAATACATCTAGTCAGCTAGTCAACGTAAATTTTCATATGAGACCGCCAATTCATCTGTATTGCATTGCTCATGAGAACGACTTCTGTTTATCAAATCCCGTGTTGGAGAGCATTCACTGAAATGTATTCGTACTGTTTTGCAGGGAGATCTGAAAAGCAGACTAGTAAATGGCTGCAGAGCGGAGTTTGTGGAGTGTGTTGCATATGGCTATGGTGAAAAATACAAGTTGAAAGCCAACCAGTCACTGCCCTGGGAAGATGTGCAGACAAATGAAAAAGGAAGTATGGCCGGCTTAGAAACTGAGAAGTGGGTGCAGAATGAAAAGCCATCGCTTAGCATCCATGTGAATGGAGATCTCTGTAAAGCTGGAACCAGGGATGAGAACTTAAAGCATTTTGAAAAGGATGCAAAATTGGTTTATTCCTCCAGCATGATAGATGAGCCCCCCAAATTATTTGCACATACCGCTAGAAATGGCATTAAAAGCATACCGTATTCACCAGCAGAATGTGACACATCACTGAAATCAGATGTGAGCACCCTGAAACAAGCAGATGTGAACACTACTGCAGAGCTGGCAGACGGCTCCAGTGCCTCCTGGAGGGAAGCTGCTCAGCTGAACAACATCTACCCTTTGGCAACTGGAACATGTGGTGCTATTCCAGAAAAGAAGGATTATGTTGTAGGACTCCAGGCAGAAAACCCAAATGCCATTCAGGAAGCTGAAAACTCACTTTTGGAAACCATTTCACTTTTACATTTGCAGGACAAGCCACCCTGTGCTCCTGTGCTTGAAAGAGGTGCTTGCCTTGATGATGGTGCTTCAGATATCCCTAGTAAAGATTCCCAGCCTGAAGATTTGTCACTTCAGTCAACTTTTTTATCTCTGATTAAAAATAGAAATTTAACTGTGGAACAGGTTGTAGCTATTGAGGCATTAACACGTTTGTCAGAGGTCCCTTTAGGACCTCCTTCACCAGCGAAATCAGAGAGAGTTGAGTGTCTAGAGCAGCAAACATCACACTTGCTGAACAGTTACAAAAAGGATAATCCATGTCCCTTAAAATCATCTGCACTGAAAGTAATAAAAGGGACTTGCCCACAAAAAGATCAGCAGCTTTTTTCTCATCCTGCCTCACAGAGAAGAATCCACCCTAAGGGTTTGCTCTACAAGGGTCCAGGTGCTATTTCTGAGTTCCCCAGTAAATCTCCAGGTCCATCTCACTTACAACGTAGATTGCATTGCGCCTCAAGAGACACCAAATCTTTCTCGGCTTTAGTGTCTGGTGGAAATTCAGGTATTACTACCAAGAAATATCCTCTTCATCATAAAACTGCTATTGGGCCATGCTCCAAAAACTCAAGTACTATCAGACAATGGTGGAACAGAGGAGAGATGCTTGGCAAATGGGAGGGAAAGGCTGTTCACAACCTGAACTTAAAAAGTAATTCTGTACTTAGGGGTGGTGTTCACAGCCAAGATGAAGAAGAGGTAGCTACCCAGTTAACTCAACTCGCAGCAATAATTGAATCAAGCAGAACAAGCCCCGATCCGAAGACATCGCTTCTCAGCCGATTACCACCTGATATGCAATCAAAAAATAAACAGGATCAGTGCCTATTGCAGAAGAAACAATCGGTATTTGGGAGGAACAATTACAGCTCCTTGTTAGTCAAGCAAAGGCAGCCTCCTCGGAAGAATGACAAATCAGTACCGAGGGCCAAAAGATTGAAGAAGAAGCCTCAAGTCATCCCTGACCAACCAAGTCAGCTACAGCAAGAATGCCAGTATAGTGAATTGCAGGACATACAGAAAAAGCCTTCTAAACTGCGCAGACTTGGGCGCATTGTGTCACAAGATTCAAAGCTGTCAGCCTTGGGAAAAAAATCTTCCAAAAGCAAAGTATACAAGGCACGAAATCGGAGTGCTTTGTCATCCCAGCAAAAACCAGCTGTATTATTTCTTCCCAAAACTCAGATAATATTCCATAGGCCTTTGCCGGCCTCAATACAAGACAGACTAAAAAACAAGCCATTAGGCTGTGAAATGGTGCCAGAGCCCCTTAAAACAATGGGCTCCAGTGATGCACAAGGCACCAGCAGCCAGAGTGGGATCCCAGGGGCTCTTCCACATGAAGCCCTGCTTTCTAGTAATCTGCTGACTGTTCCTCATTTAAAAACAGACTTTTGCGTAAAACAAGGAAGTGAAAACGGGCAGATGTTTACAGAAAAAGACAAGAATTCTCAGGTACAACAAACCATGAATATTCCTCAGATGCATCCTTTTTCTCAGATCTTCAGTCAGAGAACTGGTGACATCTATGAGGAAACCCAAGCTAAACCACAGGATACTGTGGAACAAAAGGATCAAAATCTGCAACTGATCCCCCTTAACAGTGATGATGCCTTGCCAGGGGACACCATGCATACTCTTAGAAATGTGGAGCGTGTAAGTGAAGCTACATTTCCAACATTAAGAACTGTAGAGACTGAAAAGCATCAGGGTACTGGGAACTTAAGATGTTCTCCAACAAAGAATACACTCAGTAGTTTTCTTGAATCTCCCATGACATTCTTAGATACCCCTACAAAGAATTTAATTGATACACCTACAAAGAAAGGGCAGAGTAATTTTCCAACCTGTGACTGCGTGGGTAAGTGTCCTTTGGTTTATTTTTGCATGGTTGAACTTTAAAATCTGTCCTGCGCTGATGATGATACCTAGTCGGGTAATAAAATGTCTGCAAGAAAACCACCAAGCTCAGAGAGCACCAAGGACTCCACAGTTCAACCCTGAGCTACACATATTCTCTTCTATTAAAATCTTTCTTCTCCTCAGGTCAGAATTCTCCAGAAACTTGCAGTTATTTATATGTGCTGAGACTGAAGTCTTGTGAGTTTATTCCATAGACAAGAAGGTCCCCTATGTTTCTGCAGATTCTGGGCATATATCTTCTTGGGTATCTGGATTTCTTCATTTTTCCTGAATTTAAAACCTGTTAGTGTTGAGTTTCACCAATTTGTGAATACTTGCCTTTTGAAGAAGAGTACTTAAAATAAGAGCTAACAAAATTCTCACCTATCTTTCCTTCTTCTCCATAGCTTATAAGGAGGGAAATTGTTTTATTTTGTTCAGAATATGTAGAAATTATAACTAACAGCATTTATTAATGCTGAAGGTAACTCTTAATCCATAGGTCTCTTGCTATGTGTTATTGCCCAACACATTGAATTCCAATGGCAATATAATACTCTGTAGTATTTAACTTCTATGTAATAAAATATGAAAAAAAATCAAAATATTTTACTCTATTTTTGATAAATAACAAATTAAACCACCTGCATCGTTTACTTATATGGCACTATTACCAATTTTAAGGTTTGGAAGCCCACCGAAGACAAAGTGTTGATAGTGTTTGTGCAATCTTTCTTTGTTCATGTCAGAGTGTAACTCAGTTGTTGATCCCATCCCAGTGTTTGAACTCCAGAATTCTATAATAATGAATTTTATCTAATAGAAGAAGTGTTTTATATTACTAATAGAATAGATTAGCTGAGTCAAATAAGGCTCAGTTGTAGATAGGTAAAACAAATTGTAATTGGGCAGGCATTTAAGTAGTGTTTCTGAATGTCCATGTAATATTTCTAACAGCTATTTTATCTTTTTTTGTAGAACAAATCATAGAGAAGGATGAAGGGCCATATTATACACACCTTGGAACGGGCCCAAGTATTGCTGCAGTCAGAGAAATAATGGAGGACAGGTGAGGAAATAAATATCAGTGCTAATAAGTAAAAATCAAATTGATACATGATGTAGTAAAATGTGAGTGGCAATAGCAGTTGTAGCATACCTGATGTGTAACCTACTTCGTTCTTGTTACATTTCTGTGGCCCTCTCTTGCTTTGTTATGTTGGATCTGAACGATAGCCATTGCATATGAACTACACTATATACTAGAACACTACTCCTAGCAAGTATGAGTCTGTTTTAGGAAATAGTTTGAATATTTTCATCTGCCTTTAGGTGGCTGTTACCATTGGGAATTGGGTAGAAAGTCATGACATGGTTTATGGAGATATGAAGAATTTATCTCTTCCTTGTTCATTTCTAAGCAGTTTAACCAAGTCCATAAGGGTAGTTGAAGACTATACTATGGAACAATTTCTTGAGAGAAATTAAGATATGAACGCAGCAACAAGCTGTTCCAATTATAATTTATGAACACAGCCTTTGTTTTGCACATGGCACTGCACTAGTACCAGAGCACCCAGGCCTGTTGCGTGTCTAGACGCTTGCATTCCTAACAAGAGATGTTGGTTACCCAAATCTTTCCCCCCCCCCCCCCCACTATTTTACTACCATAAGCCTAGGACATTTTTGTCTGCCCAGAGCTCTGTTTACATAACACACTTTACTTTTGCATTGGTGAGAGAAAGCACAGGATGTCTGTGGGTCTCAGTCAGGTCCTGTTCTCCAGTTCCCATTGCCATCCTTTAATATATTGAAAACAAACAGACCTTTTTCAAAACTCACTCTTTTTCATTCAGTCTTGGGTTTCACATAGCCCACTCTATTTTTCTGCACACCAACTCACTCTCACTCATCTAGTCACGTGATCTAACAGAATAGTTTTTCCCTTGAATTCAAAATGTTGCACAGCTTTTCTCAACACTCAACTCATTATCATCATTCACAGGAACATAACAGGCAACCTTCACCAAACCTAGGCATTTGTACTTTCTTATGTTCTCACAACCCATATGATAGTAATTCATACTTTATGACATACATGTTAGTCCTGTCATTCATAATTAAACCCACACCTCTGCATATATTCCTCAACTCCACTCCAGAAGATCAGGTCATCTTCATTCAGATTTATCAAATCCTCTCCCTTCCTTTTTGTTTCACGTTCATTCATTCATTCATTCATTCATTCATTCATTCATTCATTCATTCATTCATTCATTTATAGGACTTACATGGCCGCCTATCTCATACAGTGTCTCTAGGCAGCTCACAACAATCCATAAAACATAGTTAAAAACTACCCTTCCCCCCAGCGCCAGACTGAACATCCTCATAGCGCAACCCCCCATCCTTGCCCAGAGCCAGGTCTTCACAGCCCTCTGGAAGGCTAAAAGGATAGGGGTCTCTCTGTGTTCTATGTTCTATGATAACACAACATAGTTTTGTTTCATTAATTTCATCCGTTAATTCAACAGTTTTCCAGTTGTAAAGTGGAAACCTGAGGTAACAATAATCTAGGGGTTCGTTACTTGATGGTACCTTGTAGAATTCAACTTGTAATGTCATTTAGTTACTGGACCCATACTTTACTTTGGAAAGCTCGGAGCAGTTTAAATGGGCTCTCTCATCTAACTAGGTTGCTTCAGGTGCCATAGGCTGGATTTGGAGGTCATTGTTCTTATACTTATTCCTCCGTTGTGTTACTAGAATTAAGTTCAAATAACCAGAATCAGTTTTTAAATGCCTGTGCCCATTATTATTCAGTGATAACAATCCTGTATTTAGTGAACTGTTGGCATTTGTGTCCGGCAATGTGTACTCTTCGTATTTACTATTTTTAAAGTGTACCCTACCCAGAATTGTTCAGGAGTCAGGTGGCCTTAAATCAAATAAGTAAATACTGATGAACAAGCACCAATTCTTGAATTTTGTGGAATGTGTGCTGGGTGGGAGAAATTCAGCAATCCCATATTCCCTTTGTGGATTAGATAGGCCTCATAACTTTGATCTAAATACCAAAAACCTTAAACTTGTCTTCTGCAATCTGGTTCCTTTCAGAGGCGTTAGGATTTAATTGCTGTAATTCCAATACATCTAGAGGGCACCAATTGCGGGAGGTTGATTTAAGCTTCAAAGTTGATAAAGTCATCCTGGATTAATTCAGCATCTTGTTACCATATTAGCCAATCAAAGTCCTCTGGGAAGCTGGTGAAATCTCACATCAGAATGAAATTTCTGATAATTTGACTGATGCTGCACTCTTTCAGAAAGCCTTCTTGTGCAACGTGTTCAAGTTCAAATGCTTAACGTGAACAGAGCAAGTGATATGAAAACTGTAACTCAAGCTGTCAACATCAGAAATTATTTTTAGCAATATTTAACATGAGATAAACTTAACCTACCCGAAGATCTGATTCACAGAAGGCAATCTGCATTGCAGTTTGCCCATTAACCTGCTTGCTAAAAACTCAATTTGTTTTCCTTCTCTCCAGTTGCTTAGCTTCTGTGATTCTTATGAGTGTGACTGTGGTGATACTTTAGTCACAAAAAGCTTCTGTTTTGCTTCCCTGCAACTTGTGTTAAAAGACTCCAGTGTTTCCTTTATTACAGTATAGCAGAACAAATGCCATTCTCTTCCTGCCACCCTATCTGGGTCCAGCCAGCTGCTCTGGAATGTCCCCCATCAGTTAGCATTGCTTTAGTGCAATGTTGCATGCTCTTACCTGGAACTGGGAAATGATGGAGAATGTGGACAAAACAGGGCGCGAAAGGGGAGCAAGAAAGAGGGAAGTAGGGCAGTTGGCATTTAACAGCCAGTGTGCACCAACTGGCTAGATGATAACCCTGTGCGAACCTGAAAAGAAAAACGGAATTTTACATCCCTTGCAAATGTGTGCCTGCTCTTTCAAATCCAAATTGCATATTTGCTTGTACTTGGCACTGGCCAACAGTCCAGGTTGTTTGTTTATCCATGCCTAAGGATTGTTCCCACCTAGCAGGATTTCGACTGTTTTCTCAATTGCAATTCCTTCATTGTCTCTTCAGCTTTAATAACTAGTTACAAAGATGGAGGAGTTGGGGGAGAAAGGTTTTTTTCCTTTTGGTTCCAAGATCAAAGAGAAGGAAGTTGTGCAGTTCTCTGTATTACTTTCTTGTAAAAAAGGTCTGCCTAAAAGCAACATTAGGTCAGAACCTGGCTTGAAGCACATGCCCATATTTTCAAGTGGCACCATCAGGAATAAAGATACAGAGAAACAAGGAGGAGGATTCAGCATAATTGTAGGTAGGTACCTCTGTTCACGGAGACACTCTGAAAGAACAGCCTCTGCCCCAAAACAGACCAACGAGGAATGAACGTGTGAAGAAGCCATAGAACACAGATAACTGGGAAGGCTATCTGGAATTGGGATCAGGAATATCCCACAAATCCTTATTGTAAGCATTTATTTATGATGAGGTTGTCAAACAGCAGGAACTAATGCAGAGGCTGCTTCTGGAACTGTTTTAAGAAGTTCCTTCTTTTGCTAGGTTGGTTACAGTCAGAGACTTAGAACATTCCTAGTGGTCATCTTGCCCATCTCCTGTGCTCTGTGAGGGTTTTTCTTGTTCATTTTCATGTTTGTCGTTGGGGCTGCTTGTGATTTCTTTGTGTTTTGTATTTTTCCTGGGGTTTTTTTCCCTTTTCCATTTATTTTAATTGTCAGCCCCCCAGAAGTTAATTAAGGACTGGAATGAATAAAATTTATCTAGTTAAGCCACCCAGAGTCATTTGAGAGTTGAGTGGCATATAAATTGTATAAAGAAATTTTAAAAAGGGGGGTTGAGTAAAGGAAGAGAGCTTCTCTTAATTTTCAGCTGAAATTCACTTCCTTGCATGTTGGACTGCGCTTGTAGTCCTGATTTCTAGAGTAGCAGAGAATGGATCTCAACTCTGAAGATTGCCTGTGTCTGTGGAACGTTTTAATTGGAACCCTGCTATTTTGATAAATTAATTGCTTTAAGTGATGGTGTTTCTAATTATTTAAAAGTGGTTATTATTAGTTGGCTAGCAATTCTTACATGCGTTGTACAGGTATTTACACAAACTGAATGGGAACAGGCAAACTCTTAGAAAAAGCTGTCCTTTTCTTAAAGAAGGAATGCTTCCACATGGTGGCACCTTTTAACTGAACATTACTGGGTATGCACGATACAATGCACTTTTTTTGGGAGGTGCCTTTGAGTCAGTACTGACTTGTGGCGACTGCCTGGACGAGTCCCTGTGGTTTTCTTGGCAAGATTCCAGAGGTTGTTTGGCACTGCCTGCTTCCTAGGGCTGAGAGAGAGTGACTGGTCAAGGTTGCCCAGCTGGTTTTGTGCCTAAGACAGAACTAGAACTCACAGCCTCCCAGTTTCTAGCCTGGTGCTGTAACTACTACACCAAACTGGCTCTCATAATGCATGTGTGTGTGTATAAAATATTGTACTGTTAAAGTAAATATTTCTGATAATAAAGATACATAAATTACATTTATTTCTTCAACCATTGAAAGTATAATTTCCAGTTGTTGTAATTTTGTTTTGATTTTTTTTTTTTATTATTCAACTTGAGGTCTTGTCTGAAGAGACACAGTATCTTCATAATATTTACAACTCCAAGGAAATGAATCTGGGGTGAAAGACTTCCTCCAAACTTTGAATAATACCGAAGGGTAAACAGATTTAGCTTGTTCTGGCAGCAGAACAAGAAGATGCCAAATACAGACTCTCCCTTCCAGGCAGAAACAATAGAAAAGAACTTGCATTCCAAACCCTTTTTTTGTACTAAATTCCGTTGAACTGAATGGAACCTTGGAAAGTTTTGCCCAGTGGCATCTCTACTTAAATTTTCCAAGGTTCCATTTAGTTCAATGGAATTTTCTACAAAAAGGAGTTTTGAGTGCAAGTTCTTTGGTAGAGCAGCAGCAGAATTTGCAACAGGGTTACCCCCTGCAGGTTGCTCAGGTTATGCTGGTGTTTATCCTGTTCCACAGAACCGGGTGCCTGCTTGTCCCCTGTATTGCTAGATGTCTCCTGAGCCACCCAGAATGAGAAAGAAAAAAACAGAATGCTCCAGGAACCTCCCCACCAGGAAGAGGGGACAAATGTGGTTAGCTTGTTCCTTCTTCAGAAGCTGCCCTAGGAGGCACCGTTACTGTTTTTGTTTTTTCCTTGCTTCCTAGTTTCTTCCTTCTCTGTCCTGGCTCTGAAGCCCTGTAGAGAACAGGAGAGAGACTGAAAATCAGGTTAGTCTCTTTTCTCCTACATATGCTGGAGTCTGGATGAGTGACTGGGAAATAATGATCTCAGTGGTTTCCCAGGTGGCATTGTGAAGAGAAAAGCTTAATTCTACTTTCTCAAAAAAAAAAAGGGGGGGGAGGGTTATGAGTAGGCTGCCTGGTCATATGCTGGAGCACATTTAGTGGAAGTTTAGCTAAACAGTCCATCTCGCACCAAGTGACTGTTCTTTAAATGAAGAAAAAGGAGCTGTTTTTCCTTTTCTTCATGTTGTCTGCTAAGCTGGTGGGAGGAGGAATGGTGGGCTAAATACCAGAACTGTGTTTACTGCAGTCTTCTGCTCTCATCCCAGCCCTAGTTTACCAGGTGATGTCCAGAATGGAAAGAACTTAGTTTTTCCCTGCTGAAACCAACAAAGAAACTCTTGAGCATTGTTGCAAACCCACAGGCACCACAGCAGCAACCTGAGTAATACAGGACACTTGCAGTAAAAGGAGGATTTCTAACATGACAGGTAAAAAAGTAGGAGCATTCTACACATAGAAATGGATCTTGGAAATCCTCTAGTTCAACCTCTACAATTTAGGAATCCTTCTAGATGCGTGGACTTCATCAGAATTCTCTAGCAAAGTTGGGGAAAGCTTATCTAGTCCATATCCTTGTTCAGAGTGTATTACACTATAAAGCAGTGTTTCTCAACCTTGGCCACTTTAAGCTGTGTGGACTTCAACTCTCAGAATTCCCCAGCCAGCAGGGCTAGCTGGGGAATTCTGGAAGCTGAAGTCCACACAGCTTAAAGCGGCCAAGGTTGAGAAACACTGCTATAAAGAATGTAATGACAGCATGCTGGATAATCTCTGCTTAGTACTTTCAAGGCTGGAGAGCCCACACATAAGGGGTAAGGAAGATGACCTTGACAGAGATAGGCAGGATCTGTTGCCTAGGCAAAAGGGCCTGAAGCATTTCTTAAGTCCACGAGATAACATTTGGAAGTGTCTCAAGCAGAATTCCTGTCTAATTGGAATATAAGAAGGGGGAGGAGGTACTGCACAATCAGACTTGCAAGATTTTGTTGTAGCCAATCTCTATAAAAGCCTTCCTGTGGAGTTGCTTTCCTGGTCTGGTCTACCTATTAGAGCTGACCTCATTAGAGGTAGTTGAGTCTACTGTTGAACAGCAATTACTGTTAAGAAATTTCTTCAATAGATGCATAGATGAAATTTAATTCCTTGCAAATTCCACCCCTTAATTCTAGCCTTGCCCTCTGGCACAATATTGACCCAAAGACTTGATGAAATTACATTTAAGTATGGGAATAATTGCTATCTTCCCCAACTAATGTTGGGCATGAGCTTACAAAAATCATTATTTGACAACAAAAACTTTTTAGAAAGACTGGAAACCTTATATGGACTTTTTGCTGAAAGAAGAAGGAAATGAAATGATGATTTATGGATTTGATGATTAAGAAAGATGTGGATTAAATGAGGGGCTGAAGTGATTTGTATAACATCTAAGAAAGAGGAGGGGTAATAAGGTTGTAATTATCTGTTGAAGGTCAGAAGTCATTGGCATATTTCTAAACTTTAGGTTTTTTTCTGTTCTCTTTTTCGCTTCTTGATCTCTCTCTCTCTCTCTCTCTCTCTCTCTCTCTCTCTCTCTCTTTTTCCCCCTTTTGATTAGTCTTTTATTCTATGTAAAAATTCTGAATAAAAATGAAAAAGAAAAATTATTTGGAAGTGCTGTGGTGATGACCCTTTTATCCTCTGGCTTGCCTCCCACCCCTTTCTCCTGATTTTCTTGTATTCTTGGATCTTTTCCTTTGGGTACCAACTAAGAATACACAAGGGGGGGCATTCTCAGGAGGCTGCCCTCACCTGTGGGGTCTTCCAGGACAAGAGGAAATCCCATTTATCTTTATCCTTTTATTATTCTCTTACCAGGTTTGTAAGAAATGTGAATAAATCTTACCACTAGGCCTTATTGTGGTAGTTAAGAAACTAATTCTTAGTCGGAATTAATAAAATGTGCTTTTAGTAGAACAACAAACCCAAATATGCCTAAGCAAAAATAATAACTTAATGTGACAACCTAATCACATTCCATCTCTCAACCTGCAATTTTCCTTGCATCGTGCCACATTTTTGCATGGAGATACAGGGAGAAGAAGCATTTATAGCAGTTCCATTGTCATTTCCCAAGTAATGATAATTCAGATACTTTATGATTTTCCATGTCATGATTCTCTTCCATGTCATGGGAGATGTTATTTTTGAAGCTTAAATTCTAAGCAATGGGTAAGAAAGGGCGTCTTCATGTTACATTGTTCTGTGAAGGTCCTCTGTTAGGAAATGCATTAGCATGCTCTGTTTATCCTTGGAAAGGTATGTTGATGACTGCCCTTAAAATCTAAGGTTTTTGAGGATCTTCAAAGTCAGAGAATTTGCCATTTTTAGAAGCAATATTTATTTTAAGAGGATCTGTGTATATATTTGGTTATGTTATGCTCCTTTGGTAGGGATTAGATAAGTGTTTGTTTCAGAGAGTATTGCCATCAGAAATGTCTTAGATTCAACTCAGAATGGATTTCATGATAACTGTTGCTGTCTCTTGATCATCTAATAACTGTTTATTGTATTTTTCTTTTTTTTTCTGTTTCCCTTTGTACAGGTATGGAGCAAAAGGAAGTGCTGTAAGAATAGAGGTAGTGGTGTATACAGGCAGAGAAGGAAAAAGTTCCCAGGGGTGTCCAATTGCCAAGTGGGTGAGTTTTTATTTTTTAGTAATGTGTCTTGTTTACTTCCATTATATTTTCCTATTATACTGATGATGCTTAATGTTCATAAAATATTTTTTCCTTGGTGCTCAAGGATATATTTATCTTATTAATATATCCCACTGTAAATTAAAATGAACTGTTGTATGTGACCAATCAGATCAATATGTATTAAAAAGAATACAATTACTGTACAGGTAGTCCTTACTTATCAACTGCCTCATTCAGCAACCGTTCAAAGTTACAACGGTGCTGAAAAAATAACTTTACAACCAGTGCCTGGATTTATGACCTCTGCGGTGTCCCTCAGTCATGCAATTGCCATTACAGTCAGTATGCGTTGCCTTGTGCCTGACCTGTTGTCCCCCCCCGTCCCCCCCCGGTAGAGGAGAGTGATTAGAGAGGAAGGGATTACAAGAGAGTAAGCAGGCACATAGTGGGGAATACACATCGAAAGCAGCCGCAAGCACACTACGCAAACAGCCCGCTACGCAAACAGCCCGGTTTATTCCCCATTGTGTGCCTGTTTACTCTCTTGTAATTCCTTCCTCTCCAATCTCTCCACTCTGCAAAGGAGGGGAAAAACAGGTCAGGCACATGAGAGACTGTCTACAGAAATCACATTTTTTTTACTTCTCCCCCCCCCCCCCCCGAGAGTGGAGAGATTGGAGAGGAAGGGATTACAAGAGAGTAAGCAGGCAGACAACGGGGAATACACCGGGCTGTTTGCATAGCACGCTCATGGCTGCTGGCGTTGTGATGGAATGTATCTACAAGGAGGAGAGTAATGTGGGAGATCAAGTCTATCAGGAGGGAGGGAGTGCATTCCAGGAGGGGGGAGGAGGCAAGAGGCAGCATAGTCCACAGGGGGAGCATGGGAAGCAAAAGAGATTCAAGATAACCACTCCCTAGAATCTCACAGGGTATATCCACTAGTTGCTGTAGTATAGATTTAGTTTGACAAGATTCTGTCTATAAGGTGTAAGCTAATAAAGGAACTGGACTGGACTGGACTGTTTCACTGTTATTCTTGGGCTGGGCCTGACCGGCGTCAACGCATTGCTTTCGATGTGTATTCCCCACTGTGTGCCTGTTACTCTCTTGTAATCCCTTCCTCTCCAATGAATGTAAATACAAACTTTAATTCCTTTCTGGGGTGAGCATTCCAAAGGACAGGGAAGTGGTTACGAGGCAATCAAAAGCTGAAAGTGTGAAACTGATTGGTCATGTTAGTTTTGAGCCAGAAAGCATGGTCACGATCACATGGTTTCCCACTTAGTGATCCACTTAGTGATGGAGTTGCTGGTCTCAGTTGTGTTTGCTAAACAAGGACTACCTGTACATAGTACTGTAAGTAATGAATGGAATTGAACAGCCAACAAAATGAAAACCAGGAAGGGAATTCAAGAGCATGTTGATGAAGCACCAAGAGAAGGAAATCCATTCAAAATGTAACAAATCCCCAATAGTTCTCAGAAAGAGAACAACATGGCATCAGTGTCAGAAGAGATTGATCAGAATGAACTCCATAGCCTTTCTGTCAGTGTGCAAGGATTTCTTCTCAAACCAGTAAAAGGGCTGACAGTAATCAGAGCAGGGAACAGGTGAGGACTGCCCTGCTTCAGCCCCCTAGAAGAAAAAGTGCAAGGAAATGGACAAGGGTTTTGCTGCTCTAAACTGGCTATATGGGGGTCTCATTTGAAAGAAGATATCACTGGAATTTGTGATTGTAACCTTAATTTTCTTTCTAATTAACACCATTGATCTAAGCTGTTGGATTAACTCTTAACTATGTCCAGTCTAGATTGCAAGGAGGGAAGTCTGGCACACTGTTTTGAAAACCCCTGTCCAGGGAGGGCCCTCACATGTCAAGGGAGCTTAACAGCCTGGACTCCAAGGGGGCTCTTTAAGTATAGCTAGACTTGTAGAAGAAAGAAGTGGTGCAGGCCACAGGCCACATGAGGCTGTCTGTGGCTTTGATGCAACTACACATGGTTCTCGGTTTATGACCACTTGTTGAGTGACTATTCAAACTTGTGATGGTGCTAAACAAAGGGGACTTACAAGGGGTCCTCAGAGTTCTGGCTATTGCAGCATCCCCACAGTCATGCAACCGCAATTTCCAATGTTCCCTGCCAGCTTCCCACAAGCAAAGTCAATGGGAAAGCTAGCAGGAAGTCGGAAGTCACGGTCACATGAGGTCTTCACTTAATGACCCACACGGTCCTCACTTAACAATGGCAAGGACTGCCGGAACTGCTGTCGCTAAGTGATGCAGTCACATGACATTGTGCTCTATGACCATGTCTCTTAGCAACATCAATTCCAATCCCAATTATAGTTGTAACCCAATATGTACCTTTATTGGAACCTCCCATATCATTAGTCACCAAAAATTGATGCAATTTGTGATTGCATTTTGGCAATAAATCACATTTCTAAATTTCCATGGCAACTGCTTAGAAGCAGTCTCTCTAATGTTTAGCACTAATCATCTACAAAAGATGTGGTGAAATGAGCCCTGATAACTTAAAAATACTCAGGATGGTATGAATATAAGGCTTAGGTTATATACAATTACATCAGAAGTATTTTGGGACTGACCTCTTTGCCTTGTAGATTGCGCCTGTGAATCTTGACAATGCTCCACCATGCAAGATTCACTGTGGGTCTGTGTGCATTTCAAAACCTGGTTCAGACACCTTAAGTTCATTTTTAAGAATAACATGATTGGGCAACAATGGCAAACATATTTAAAAGAATGGCATGTTCTGTTGTGGTTTTCATGCTTTTCTTCCGGACCTTTAGAAGCATTTAACTGGCCATTAACTGCAGTAGAATATTTATTTTATTCATGTACAGGTAGTCTTCATTTAGCAATCACAATTGAGACTGGCAACTCAATTGTTAAGCAAAGTGGTCACTAAGTAAAACCGTGACTGTGCTTATGATCTTACTTCAGCTTTCCTTTGCTTTACAGACCTGCAAAGGTCGCAAAGTTGCTTTTTCATCACCATCTGCAAACAGTCGCTGTGTGAAGCAGTTGCTAAATGAGGACTACCTGTATTGAATTGAATATAGATTATTATCAAGTTGGGAAAGGCTAAATATTCATAGATTAATTTGCTAATTGTTTTCCCCCCTTTTTTATAAGAGGAAAATTATGAATCAGTTGAGCTTGTTTCATAAATATATTGTTCATTGAAGTCAGTCGATTAGAACTGTTGTGGTTATGAACTGTCAGCGGGAATACCAATAGAAGTAGCAATCTCTTACTAGCTGTTTCCTCTTCTAATACACCTGATTGGGAGGATTAATAGCACAGCAAAATGGTGGCATTGGAACTCAGATATCTGTAGGCCAATGGACTCTCCACACTGTTTCATTTCTAACAGAACATTTCCTGCAGCTCATGCCTGCGTTACAGTTTCCTGACTTATTCTGGAATTCAAAATTGTGCTAGGAACTTAATTTAATGCTGAAAAAACAGTGGTGTCCTATTTATCCTTGAAATAAAATTCATGATTCTCAGTAAAAGCGTAAGACAACTCTTTAAGAAAAAATTAGTTTTAAAGATGTTTTATTTTTTAAAAGTGTATATATTTAATAAAGGATAAGCATAGTTTCTGTGCTATTTCTAGCAGAGTTACTTATGAGTTTCTTGTTGCCAGCTGTGCACTGTGCTTCAGTGTTTGTTAATGTTGGCTTGTTCCATGAATGGTGCAGCTTCCATTGGGTCTGCCTAGATAACTGCAGCTGTGCCAACATGGATCTGCTTATTCTTAAACTAAGAAGCCTATCACAGATGTGCACAAACTTTTCTTGGCTGGGTTTGGGATCATTGGATTAACAGAACCTTGAATGAAACAGAGACTGGAAGGTAGCCATCTTTCATCCTGGCCAGAGCTTGCCCCTTTGAGTACACTCCCTCCTCATCTGTCAGACTGACAGTTCCGTTGTTCATCTTGAATAAACACCAACATGTGGGTTCATTGCTTCTGAAATCACACTCATCTGTGATACAGTAGGCACAAAGATTTTATTACATGTGTGTGTGCAACAGAACACACCCCGAGAAACTCTGTTCCGTTTAGTGTTCCCAATATGTTCGTTAAAATAAAAGGGGAATCTTTATACAATGTTGTTGTTTTTTGTGGAGTCCTTGGGGTTCTCTGAGCTTGGTGGTTTTCTTGGTGGTTACCAGCTAGGTAACGAAATGTTTGCAAGAAAACAGCCAAGCTCAGAGAACCCCAAGGACTCCACAGTTAACAACAACATTGTATAAAGATTCCCCTTTTATTTTAACGAACATATTGGGAACACTAAACGGAACAGAGTTTCTCGGGGTGTGTTCTGTTGCACACACACATGTAATAAAATC